ACAACATATAAAAACAGTTTACAAAAAGCACAGAGTACATCAACCATATAACACATTAATCTAAATTACACTAACTAATCCGCACCGTCACAACATAGGGATCTACCAGTCTCATAATCCAAATTCCGTTCCGATTGTCATTGTCAATTAGTCTGGCACTAGTTAAATGCCTTCTCGAAGAGCCAGGTCTTTAGGCTCTTACGGAAAGCCATAAGAGAGGGCGCCTGTCTGATGTCAGCAGGGAGGGCGTTCCACAGCCGGGGGGCCACCACTGAGAAGGCCCTCTCTCTCGTCCCCACCAGGCGACATACATTACCTCTTCCACCCCCCCCCCCCAAATTATACTGCTGGAAGGAAGGAAGCTTGAGGTAATCTAGCACAGATATTGTGTAGGAGTACACTGAATTCTGAACAACTGTGATCCTTTTAAAAAAATCACTGGTTGGAAACACCATATTTTGGGCTTTACAAAAATACAACTTCTGCATTTGGATCCCTTTCGGAGTGGAGGGAGGGGGCTTGGAGGTCTAGAAACAGAAAGAAACTGGTCTAGTTCTTTCCTAACTATTCCTGGATTTATGAAGAAACTATACTCAGATCAAGTTTTAGATTGGAGTAATTAATCTGCATACTCATAAAAGCATTTTATTATATTTACTTTAACACTGCTTTCTTCTCAAAATTCAGACTCAAAGGAGCTCACACTTAGAAATAATATAATTAAAATGTACAAAAGATAAATATTAAATTGGAATTAAATTATTTTCTTCTTCCTAACTGATTAATCTTTAAAAACATACCTTGATTTCATTCACCAGCGAATTTTATACAGAAAGAGCAGTTTTAAATTTAAAAAAACCCTTTATAGTATAGTATTATTTTCAAAACATCATGTGAAAAAAAACCTTTCTCTTTTCTACTTTAGTAATGATGCAAAAAGGCCAATAAAAGTGTATTCTAATGAAGAAATCGGGTCTTTTGACAGCTTTTTTTAATCCTTAAATGATGAAATGACTTTTGAGTGAACAACATAAATGTTACAGTTGTATTACCTCGTGTTTGTATTGTTGAAGGCTTTCATGTCCAGAATCACTGGGTTGTTGTGTTTTCCAGGCTGTATGGCCATGTTCCAGAATGCTTCTGAAACATGGCCATACAGCCCTGAAAACTCAAAACAACCTACCTAGTTTTCATTTTTTTGTTTTGTTTTAAAAACTCTTAGACCCATGAGTGAATCTTAGAAAATCAAAACAAAAGATCATATAAAGCAAACTTGAAGAGATCCTAGTTCAGAACACATGCTGTTTCATGATGATTGATCAGAGTGCTATTTTGAAATATCCGATTGAATGAAAATTCTAGTGAAATGTCTCATTATGTTTATTTCCTAAATATATTTTATAGAAAATTAATACTGGAAGGAAATTGTGAGAATAAAAGTATTTAAAATATCAAATAACATTAACCCTAAGGACAAATGACAAGCTAAGAGGTATTACTGACATGTTATGCTGTATCTTCAAGTTGTTTTTTGAAAATTCATATTTAGTTGTGTATCAGAGAACTAATGGATCAAAAGGCTCAAAATCTGGTATATCTACCCAGGAGTCATTCTGGTCTCAATAGATGTTTCCTGGTGTGTGTCCGTCCAGAGGGCTAAAGTAATTAGCTAGCCTCTCTGAGCAGGCCCGTAGCCAGGATTTTGTTTCGGGGGGGGGGGTGGGGGGGGCTGAGTCTGAGTGAAAGAGGGTCTACCCTAGCAAACCTTTTGTATCATTACCCCAATACCCATGCATATGGGATATATTGAGCATGGTGATCAGATCATGATATGAATAAACATAACAGTTTAAATAATGTACCAGTAAGGCCTTCTCGCGGACCACCATGAGAATTTGGGGGGGGGGGGCTGAAGCCCCCCAAGCCCCCCCCCGGCTACATGCCTGACTCTGAGGTACATAAAAAGTCAACTTTATTCAGAAACGTAGAAGGCATCTAACTAAGGAGGAAAGCACTTAAAGAAGAAAACAAAGCAAGATCTGTGGTAAACTGGGCCAAAGGAACTGCCTCCAGGTGGAGAATGAGATAGCTGAGGTAAGCTAGGCCAGAGACAGTAGCTTTGCTAGGGATAATCAATCCAAGAAGACACACAGTGTGTGGCTAATACATCTGTACAAGAAGAACAACACAGTTGTAACTAGAAACATAAGGCAATAAAACATGTAGCCACATGTCCAGCTAACACTACTTATGCAATGTGTTAGCTGTAGGTGAGGAAAAGGCCAGACCTTCAATACAGCAAATGAGCAAGTTTTGGATAATCGGAGCAGACAGTGCAGTTACAATCAGTCAAACATAACAGAAAATAATTTTCTCTTGCTCAGGAAAACAGATTTCTCTTGACATTGGCTACTTTTGCATTTAATTTGGTTGATGATGTGGATTTAAAAGATCTGGTTCACTTCGGAGTATTTACACAGGCACACTATGGAACGGTTCGAAGCTAGGACATTGGCCAACAAGATCCACTGTGTGCAAATCAAGCTGATCCACAGATTACTCCCTTACCTCCTCCAGTGGGATGTGCTGGTTAAAAACAGCTTCTCAGTGCTTGACTAAAGCAAAGCAAGTCAAGATAGGGTAATCAAGTGTTTTTTACCAAACACTACGGTTTCTGGGTTGTTGTAGGTTTTTTCGGGCTATACAGCAGTGATTCCGGCCATGAAAGCCTTCGACAATACACTACGGTTTCCTTTCTAGGGTGAGGTGTTTGTTTATCTTCCAGCAGAGCTGTGTATCTGGTTTCTTACTCTGACTGCTGCAGCATTACTTCTTTCTACATAAGCATTCCACATTTGGCATTCAGCTTCCTGCTGTGCAGTGTTTATACACAGATCAAGTTCAGCAGATTTTATGGACTGATCTATAATTTCCAGTGAGTTTTTTAAACGCACCATTTCTGGCTAGATGTGTGTTGGAGTTTGCATTGGGGGTGTATGCTTCGTAGATACCCTGATCTTGAGCTGGCTTCAAGCTGGATGTTAGTGCCTGTGTAGAAGGGCTTATAGCTGCAATTACAAACTTGGGGCAATAGTACGATATAGTGGTTTGAGTATTGTGCTTTAACTCTGGAGACCAGGGTTCAAAGAGACAGACACATATAAAACTCTGCTGAACAAATATAGTCAAGAAAACCACATGATACGTTCGCCTTAGGGTTGTCATATGTCAGAAATTATGTGAAGGCATACAACAACTATAACCAAATGCCTGACTGGAGCAGAACACTAATTACTACATAGATGTATAATCTAGTGCAGTGTTCCTTAAACTATCTGATATAGGGGCCAGATCCCTCTCCCCAATGTGCCAAGTATTGGTACCATACTTCTGCTTAGTGGCCATAACTGTTTCTTCCTTTTCTTAACAAATTAACAAGTGAATGGCAGACAATGGCTCATGGACAAGCACCAGTCTATGGAAACACCTCATTAAGTAGACGATCTGGACTACAAATAAGGCAAACAAAAAGCACAGTGCAGAAGGATTTTATATAAGCAGATAGCATGCCTTGCATAAATTCACTTCAGCTGTCTTGTAGCCTACGGAATGGGGTGAAAATGCCTTCTGATTTTCAAATAGAGCCAACATAATGTAGTGGTTTGAGTCCTCTGGAGACTATGGTTCGAAACCTTACTCAGCCTTGGGAAAGTCTCTCTCTTTCAGCCTCAAAGGGAGGCAAAAACAAATCCCCTCTAAGCAAATCTTGTCAAGATAGGTTGCCAAGATAGGCAGTTAAACTGGAAATGCATCTAACGGAACAACAAATCTCCAAATATTATGATTAACCATATTTTGATCTTAAATGAAAATTGATATGAATAACTGTAAGCTGTCTTAAATGAAAATTGGCATAGTATATCCATCCACATTAGACAAAAGCTTCAAAAGCATAAGCAATACCAAGTCTTTTAATAAATAAAGGTGTGCTTGAGAGGGGAATTACCTGGGCTTCTTCCTGTTGCTTTTTCAGCTGATCCAACATGGCCTTGAACTCTGCCTCCTTCTGTTCTGCCTCTTCCAGTGTAGCCTGGTTTTGTTCTTCATAGGCCATGGCTACCACAGCCAAAATCAAGTTCACCAGGTAGAATGAACCAACAAAAATAACGAGGACAAAGAAGATCATGTAGGTTTTTCCTGCTGCTCGCAAGGTCTGTGAGGAAAGGAAGACCATTATGAGGATCCCTGACTGTGAGGGAGTTCTTGTTATACTCTGCATGTAAGGACGGATACCTGGTATCACGGACAGCATATCTTTTTTTAAGGGCTTAACTGAAGAATAGATACACATAATTTTAAATTTATATCTGCTTTGGCGGGTTTTTTTTCGTGTCAGGAGCGACTTGAGAGACTGCAAGTCACTTCTGGTGTGAAAGAATTCGCTATCTGCAAGGACATTGCCCAGGGGACACCCAGATGTTTTATCATCCTGTGGGAGGCTTCCCTCATGTCCCCACATAGGAAGCTGGAGCTGACAGAAAGGAGCTCATCCCATCTCGAGGATTTGAACTGCTGACCTGTCAGTCAGCAGTCCTGTCAGCACCCATTGTGCGATCAAGGGCTCTTCTGCTTTGGCTGAAAATGGATATTTCAATACTATACTGTATATAGTAAGTTATATAATGTTCTTTATTATTTATTATGAATTTTCATATACGACAAAAATAAGAAGACAACTAAAACTATAGAAAAAGAAAAAAGATAAAAAAGAAACTCATCATAAACTATAAGAGAATACAAAGGGAAAAAATCATACATTGGACTTCCAACATTGCAAAAAATGATTATATATAACTAGACATACTAGCTGTTAATGTATCTATTTCATCCAAATCCAAAAGTTTGAACTGTTGGTACACTTGCATTGTTCCATTCTTGTGCATACAATAGTCTTGCTGCTGCAGTCATATATTGTAGTTTCTATATTTCTTTTCTATTTGATTTTCCAACAATGCAAAAGAGTACAATTCTGGTTTCATTTGAAAATTAACTTTCATTTTTTTGGTTTCATACTATGTATTTGACTCCAGATTTTTTGAAAAAGCTATACAATGTCATAATAATTTCTTTTCCAATCAGTTCTGCTGCTGTATCTCTGGAGACTCCTCTCCCTAAGCCTCTCTATTCCATCTTGGAGAAAACTAAGTGCATCCTATCTGTTCAAAAAGGGTCAAGAGGCTTTACTAGTGCTAATTATTTTGAGCCTCTCTAGATCCATACCAAAGAGATTGTTTCGACTCTTCACTAGGAATAATTGATTTAGCAACCAACACAGTGTAGGTGTATATTGAGCAAAGTTCTGTACTCAATAGCACTGAATCACATCGGCTGTTTGATGTTAACACTTCTAATGCTAGAAGAGGCTTCTGTCATTCTGTCATAATTACATGGTAAACAATTGCCTCTTCCATTTCCTTCATACTGCTAATGGCTTCCAGAGGTAGAGCAAAGAAGATTCAAGAAAGATAGAGACAGGATTGTATTACTTACTAACTGATACAAGTTTTCCCAAAAATCCTGAGTCATGAGGCGAAATAAGGCCAGGAAAGCCCAACTGAAGGTATCAAAGCTGGTGTAGCCATAGTTCGGATTTCTGCCTGCCTTCATACACGTATAGCCCTCAGGACATTGGCTGTAGACAAAAAGCAAGACATTGAAATATATTGGCATGATGAAAAAGAGGAAGATAGACTACAATTGCTTTCCCATCTCAATTTAACAATTTGACAATGTACTGGAAGTCTATAATTTCATTCTTCAGAAATATGAGGCTTACAGAAAGCAAGAGTATTTTCTAGTAACAAAATTATCTGCATTATCAGAGTCATCTTTACCTATGCAATGTCAACAATGAAATCTATGAGTAAGTGCACAAATGCCACATGCGCTTCTTGAATGCTAAAGCAACATGTCATCTCAGTAGGAGATAAAATTCAATCAGTAACCTCCACAGCAAAATTCAGAAGCTAAAATAAAACCCTGGGTAGTTTACACTTGGTCCAAAATATGTACTGATCTACAGATTGATAAACTCAACCAAGGAAGTCACAGTCCTTCCTTTTTAGTGTCTGAACAGGGACGTTAGTAAAACTGGCTTTTTGAGTGCCCTCATTCATGGGGTCATCACTGAGCAAAGAAATCTTAACAACAGTAACCATATTTACTAAAGTCTAATGCTCACCTTTTTTTGGCTAAATTACATTGTCAACATTGAGGTGTGCATTAGCCTTGATGGTGTGTTAGAATCCTGTACATAAACTCACCTGCATGAAACAGCCATGAAAACCACAAAACCCAGAAGTTAATGGGGATTAAATGGTGGCCCTTCGACTCTGGAACTCGCTCCCCAATGATATTAGGCAAGCCCCCACTTTGGCAGTCTTTAGGAGGAGCTTGAAAACTTGGTTGTTCCAATGTGCCTTCCCTGAATAAACAATAACTCCCTGTTCTGACCAATGTTCTGCAAAATGTCCTCTGAAGCACTTTATCCTACCTGTTGGGTCAATCATCCTACCTTACCGTCTCAAAACCCCTGTTCAGATTCATTTTACTGCTGCTCACACCCAGTGTTTTAATTTTTTAATCTATTAGATTTGGCCCTGCCCTTAGTGTTGGATTCTTGTGTTTTTAAATGTCTTGTTTTTGCTGATATGTTATTTATAATGGCTTTGTATTGTATTTTTATTTATTTTTATTTTTAAAAACTTTCTTGTTTATTGTTGTGTTGATTTACTGATGTATGTATTGTCGCGCCTTTTCTCATGTAAGCCACCCCGAGTTCCCTTGCAGAGATGGTGGCGGGGTATAAATAAGATGATGATGATGATATTATTAAAGAACAACCTATTTAAAATATTTTGATATGATTAGATCCAGACTTAGGCTGGCTCTACACATATTTGAGCTCTAGAAGGTTCTGAACTGCACAGTGTGAGTGCAGTTAACCCATTGTGTGCATTCACAGAGACAACAAAGAAGAACCAAATATTCCAGGGCAACCTTAGATACTGGAGTCCTTTTGGCATCCAAATGGCCGTCTTGGTTGAGGGTGCATTTTTACCACCACCATCACTCACAAGCAGCTCCCTCACAGAGGCTTATTAGTGATGCCTTTTATACTGGGCACGTGATTGGGCACCCTATTGTGAACCCATCAGAGGCAACGTTGACAGCAAGCTTCTACAAAGAAGCTGCTTGTGGGTTTGTTGGACGTATGGACATTGGATTGAGCATAGATCTAGTCCAACCCAGTTGTCCAAATCTACATAATACTATGTCTGTACCATTGGTATTGGGGCCAACTCTGCTAATTATTGAATGAAGTCATCTCTGCTAAACACAACGTGTTTAGTAAAAGTAGATTAATGCTCCCTGATTTGAACTCATAATGAGATTTTGAGCGTGTACTCATTTACTGACTTCAGTTTAGATCTGTGGTTCATGGTATGATACTCAAGGAGGCTTGAGGTTATAGGGTGAAACCTAATCCCAGCCCTCTGCCAGGTAGAGGTTTTGCGTATTTCTGGAAGGTTCATAGGTGTTTCTTTTTAATGATATAGTTGGCCTTCCAAAAGGAAAAGCAAACAACCTCAGCTGACATGGGACTGGGCAAACAATTACTTCATCAATAAATTCATTCAGCAACTTCTGTAACTGTATTCATACACACTGAGACTTTTCATTTCCAGTTGTAATTTGTCAAATTACTTGGGGTTTTTTTTTGGAGGGGGTTAAACAGAGAGAGAGGAAAGGCATTTGAGCTGACAACTTACCCTGCATCAGAGCTGTTACCACATAACAATGGATCAAGAAACCCAGGTATTGTGTAAAAATTCGCTAAATGAGGTGAAGAAAGGAAAGAGAAAAATAATCAATAACTATAATATGAAACAACAGAGATACAAAAAGTGATTTTACAACCTACTTATGCTGTAGGTGCTTTCACGTCATTCATCGACTTATGACGATCTTATAGATTTCATAGCATTTTCACAGGCAAGGAATATTCAGAGGTGGTTTTGCCAATTGCCTCATCTGAAATAGAGCTTACAGCACCTATTTATTGGTGCTCTCCTATCCAAATACTAATCTCCCAAGATCAGGCAGGAATTTGAAAGCTAAAATCCAAGCATTTCAGCCAGTGTAGTGGTGCAAAGTCATCAGGACCTTTACCATTTCATGGCGCAGGCATGTGAGTACTGTAGTGACAGGAGTTGTCACATCACCACTCATAAACTGCCGTTCTCATTGTGGTTCTATATGCACTAGCATGCTTGCAACCTTTGGGGTGCACTAATAAATGGTTGCATGTTTACTGTCCAAAATAATACTTTAGAAATATATTCCTTTGAACTGAAGAGTCAATATCTCATTATAAATATGACATGCAATTCACAGTAAACACTGAAAAGCAGTTCATGGAATGAAAAGGATCTGAAACTGTATTAATTTTAAGTTGAGAAGCCAAACAATGCTTCTCACCAAAATAATTTTAGTAAAAGAAAGAGAGCAATGTACAAAAAGAAGACAAATATAGATTGCTAATGAAATGATAGGAAAAAATCATTAAAATGTGGCATTTCTGAGAACAGGAATTGCTGGTCCTTTTGAAAATACAGCGACAAAGGTAATCTACTAAATCGAAGAATACGCATACAATCACAGAAGAAAAACAACAACACGTACAGTTATTGTTGCTGTACTCTTCCCAGTCAAAGCCCTTGGTGCCGTTTTCCAGATAGGTCTCATTGAGATCAATGGGCCAGATGACACACTTGTTCCTTAGATTCCCCATGAACAGCTGAAGTCCAATTAGAGCAAACACACTGAGGCAAAACACTGTCAAAATCATCACATCTGACAGCTTCTTCACAGACTGGATCAGGGCTCCCACAATAGTCTTCAGGCCTAGGAGAAAGGCAAGCAGTCATGACACTCTTCAGTATTTTATGGACAATGGCCTAGAGAGAGATCTTCTCTAGGATGACTACAATACCCTTCTGGCTACTGTGATGCCAAATGAAATGATGGGCTTGGGCAGATTAATTTTCCCCTGTGGCTTGGTATGTTGTTGGTTGAGCTTCCCTTGCTGGCCTCAGACTCCCAACACGAAGGAACTACACATGTAACTACAGCAGAGTCTCGCTTATCCAACATAAACAGGCTGGCAGCACATTGGATAAGCAAAAATGTTGGATAATAAGGAGGAATTAAGAAAAAGCCTATTCAAAGTCAAATTACATTATGATTTTACAAATTAAGCACCAAAACATGTTTTACCACAAATTGACAGAAAAAGCAGTTCAACACATGGTAATGTTATGTAGTAATGACTGTATTTAAGAATTTAGCACCAAAACATTGCCATATATTGAAACAGCAGTGGATCTGGGTGGGAGGCAGACTGCATTGGCTAATACAGAACGTTGGATGAGTGAAGGTTGGATAAGCGAGACTCTACTGTACTATACTTCACTATCTAGGCATACAGCCAGCACTCTGAACCTCTCCTGAGTTGGGGTTGGATGGAGAATAGACTGTGCTTCAGGCAATAGTGCACATCGCCCAAACACAACAGAGTCTTCTTTTACACTATAGACACTATAGAGTGTCAGCACTTTGATACTACCTAAACTGTCAGGGCTCTATCCTATAAAATATTGGGATATGTAGTTTCATGGAGTATTTGCAGTTGTCCACTAGAAGGCTCTAGTGCTTTATGAAAGTGCAGATCCCTGGTTTCTGTAGGATGGTACCGTGAAAGCCAAAATGGAATTAAAGTATTATAATCATGAAAGAAACCCTAGCCAAAGCAAGTGGGGTTTTCTATGCCTTTAGGATTTTATCGACACCATAACATGAAAGAGGAAGCTGATTTGAATAAAATTTAGGCCATGGAACAATCAGTCCAAATTATGGTATCCTGATAATATTATATAACCACAAGAACAGCTAATTTCCTATCTGAATTTGGAGTTCACAACCTGAGGATCAAGGCACTAAAGGGGAAACATATTCCCAAACATTATCCAAAAATGGGATTTCCTCAGAAATGTGAGCTTTAGTAACCAGGCTTACAAATTAATTATTTTTTGATAACTGGTTGAAAACAAAGCACACAAAATGCAAGATAAGTTGGTGGGGGACAATCACATGCTATGACAAGCAGCCATCTTTTCACCATGCGAGGGAGCTCCTGTTCTTTAAAAAAGCTAAGCTTTTTATCTAGTTAGATTGCAGTGGCGAAATTGACTGGGGGACCTCGAGATAGCTGTAATTTCTCCTTCTAAGTCTAACTTATTGCATAGGGCTGTCAGGAGGATTCAAATGACTTCATGGAGGAACACTATATTTTCTCTTGAAACCTTTGTAGGAATGGTAGGATTAAAAATACAACAATCAAACAAATGAGTAAAATGTACATTTTTCACAGAAATCTGAGGTATAATATTACTTTCAAGGGATGAACAGACACTTTACAAAATAACCCTTGAAATGATATTCAGAAATATATTGGGATCCTTGAAAATGTTGCTTTCTTGTGCAATGAAGTTTATGTTGATGGTTATGTGGAGGTGGGATGGAAAGCACATGATGTCAGATTAATCAGATGCTGCTTGTAATACTCATGAGGTGCAGTATTCTAACTCTGACACAATTAAGATCTATGATCAGAAAAGATATTATAGGAGAAAGGGCATTGGATGTATGTAGATGAAGATGGCTTTTTCACTCATTCTCCTCTCCAGAATCATTCACGATTGTCAAAACTGTCGGCAATTAAAGCAAACATGGGATACTTGGATTTGCAGTTTATGTAGGGCCAGAAACTGCAAAACCCACAAGATTATAGGATGGAGCTTTGGTAGTTAAAGTGGAATCATGGTGTGATTAATTGTGTTGTGCAAAAGAGCCACAAGGTGGGTTTGGCTGTTGTTCTTGTGATTACAGACAAAAATTGTTCAAACACATCTACTGCATTTGTGCTGAATACAATACGCCCCAGTATGAACTTTACATTAGCCTTCTCTTCCTCATAGTAAAAGATGCTGCAGTCAGGTCCACAGATGTGTACCCATCTGTTTAGATGTACATCATCTTTGTTAAAAGTATGAAGCACAAGGATGTAAATAAACTAACCTAAAGAGGGGAAAATGAGTGCGTGGCTGAGGACCACTAACTGGTTCTGTCACTGCTATTACCACATCTACTTAGGCCTGAGGGAACAAGATACTGGAGAAGAGGAAGTAAATCTCAGTGACAGTGCCTCCATCATATGTCTACAAGGCTCTAGCAAAAATACAAAGAGAAATGTGAGGGGCATGTTTCCTCTGAATGCACTTCTTGGGCTAAATTTCAAAGTGTATTGCCTTGACTAAGGGTGGCCAACTGTGGAAGACTAGGGGTCACATTAGCCTCCAGGAGAATTTAGAAGGCCCCACCATACCTGAAGATGGTATTTTTTGTCCTCAAAGAGGGACGTGTCTTGGGACATTTCTTGGCCGACAGAAAGTATTTTGGGGTATCTTAAGCGGAAAAAAATATTTTTGAAAAAAATGGCAAATAGGGGATTCAACAGGGTTCAAAATGTGATAGAAATACACTCCGCATTCGTAGAAATTATTTTTTTAGCATTTTGAAACAAAAATATATTTTAAAAAATTGAGCTGAGATTTTTTGTTTTGTTTTGATCTATGGGGGATCTTGGTGCCACACTTTGTCCAACCCTGCCATAGACCAATTATTTATTTATTTATTGTTCCCAACCTTTGGTCCTCCAGATGTTATGGATTTCATCTCCCACAATTCCTAGCAGCTGGAAGAAAACATTGTAGAGCTGGAGTCCAAAACACCTGGAGGACCAAAGGTTGGGAATCACTGCCATAGACTGCAGATTCTTCACTTCTAGGGACACATTTAAGAGTGGCTTTTAAATATGACCCCACATATCACAATCCTAAATCTGATATCTAAATCCCAGCACCCTCTCCACCAAAATAAACTACAATGTTTTCTTCCAGTTGATACACCAGCATAATCCATATTTTTAACTCACTCACCTTTCCTTTAATTTATGCCCATTAAAGGCATTTAATGAGCCATTACATGTTCTGACTTATTAATTTCTTGCTCCCTTCAATCTACTCCTTGATTTAATATTTTCAGACACATTTTATTATTTCCAGTTCCTGCATTTCACCCATTTTCTGGCACAGAGGCCTCAGTCTTATTCTTCCTAGAGTCCCTCGGTGCTTTTATGCGGTTGTAATTGATATTAACAGCACTGCTTCTGAGCATTCCCAAAGGGCTCCAGTTTTAAAAGCCCAGAAAAGGTGCTCATTCTGCTCCAGCCTTCTGATTATTCCTCCATAAGTAGTGTTTTTATAAGTGGCAACAAGAGCACCTTTTGATCCTTCCTCTGAGATTAAAGTGTATAATTATTGTGGCACCTCTGTCAGTATGTTAAGCATCTGGTGCATTTGTAAATCATACGATAGATCTCTCTTTTTCTGTCAGCTGCCACCATCACCAAGGATTTGGATCAGCATATTTTATTGTACTATACTTTAGTTGGCACCAGACTTTCAGAGGTTAGAACAGCCATTAATCTGATAATTCAGGTAATTAAATGAAGTTATGCACCTATTGGAAAGATATATACTCTTCTTACCCTGTCTGAATGAAGCAATGGTTACTGAGAAGATCACTACCATTGTGTAATCTTATGTCAAAGGGGCAAAGAAGTCTGCCATTCATTTGGGGGTGGGTCACTGTCCCAGAGCAAGGGGGCAGATTTTGTCCCTTGAACTGTTCTCCTCCTGCTTCAAATTGCATTAACTGCAGATGTATACACTGATTAGGAATATCTAATCTAATGTAATTAATCCAGAGAAAACTAAGATATCCCAGTTTGCTCCAGATTAACTAAACATGTGGAAACATCTGGACCTCAAGCTGGTTACGGCCCTATGGGGATTGACTCCCAGGACCGCTTCCACAGTCCCAGGGGTCAACGTGCTCTGCAATCCAGTGCTTCGGGATCTGAGTTCTTCTTCGGGTACCCATTCCCCCCAAAAAGCTTATTTAAGGGGCCTCCTGGCAGCTCTCCTGATATGCAAAAATGACACATGAGGAGGTGAGGAAGGAAAATCCCTGTCATTTTCACCCAACAGGAGAGCTGCTGGTAGCCCCCTCAAGTAAGTTTTTTTTGGGGAAATGTGTCAGGATTTGTAAGTTACTTAACATCTCTGTAAGTGATAACAAGATCAGTGCCTCTGGTCTAACCACATGTGTCACTGTAATTGGGGTGTGGTGGTCAGTGCTAAGATTATTTATATAGGTTGTAGTCATCTTGTGCAAGTTTGTGGTTGGTGGATGTTGGATTAAGACAGAAAGATTGATGTACATGCTGCGAGTATTGTCCTGGTATTTGTATTGTTTACACTTTTGCTGCAACTGAAGAAAAAAAAGCCTTCCATTTGGAAAGAACAGCTTTGTGTTGGTGTTGTTCTTGTTCCGGAGGAGACCACTTCACAGCAAGCAGGTACTGGGCTCCTTAAAAGGAGTGAAAAGTCCCTTCAATTTCAAGCTTTCCGATGCATCTAGCCACCTCTCTCCCCCCCCCCCCCCCCCCCAGGGAAAGTGTGGGTTTTGGGTTTTCCTCCTGGGATTTAGTCAAGTGCAGAATAATAATAATAATAATAACAATAATAATAATAATAATTATTATTATTATTATTATTATCGTTATTATTTATATCCTGCTTTTTGTCTCCACAAGGAGACTTAAAGCGGCTTACTCTAAAAGCATTTCAATACAACTTAAAATACACAAATATAAAATATTAAAAATATTAGAAGGGCTCTGAGATACTTCCATAACACTCATAGCAGCCTACCACTGTTTAATTCACTCACTCTAAATATTTTCGAAACAGCTTTTTGGGTCTGTATCTTCCAAAAACAGTAAGGGAAAGGTATAGTTTAACAGTAATATTATCAACATAGTTATCTATGGTTCTGTGCAAAAATTCTCTGCTTGCATGTGGCATAGTTTAAAAAAACACTGTTTTGTCTATTCATTTTAGGGAGATACTGTATTTTATGGTCTATGAAATGGAATAAATTACTATTAACTTTCAATCATTGTTAATTTTGCTGAACTAAGTTGGAAAATTACAAAAATCTTGATGTGGCATTTTAAAACGACCGGTCTATACTATGATTGTCCCATTACTTTTGGATGGGACATTTTATGGGAGACCTGGCAGGATGTGGAGGTAATGTGCAATCTAGAGGTTGCTTCTTGAATTGCAGCAGCAGTTTGTGACTGACGAAGCTGCTTCAGTTCAGGAAGAGCAGTCATGTCTCCCTCAACTTTTAAGTCCTGGTACTGTCTACACAGTAAATGCCATCCTATACAGTGCTGGTTCTGTCAGATAGTTCTGTTAGATAGGTGGCTAGAGTGTGATCATGTCCTTTGCTTCAGGCAGCAATATGCCTTGGGACAGCCCTCTGCAAGGGTTGGAAGCATGTAGCTTCCCCTCCTCGAATGGATGATGAGTGAGTTCATCTGAACACCCTGCATCCCCCCGGGAGAGGCCTCTCATTAGCCATTTCACAAATCGCACATCAATAAACTAGGCAAATATTCCACTGGGAGTCACAACCAATTCTGGCTCTTTGATTACTGTACTTATATGGCGCACATATTTCCAAATACCTCTTTGCTGTAGTTCAAAAAGGGCACTACTTTTTTTTACACATGTATTTAAAACAAGTGTAATCTTTAAAGACTCAAGGGGTCTTTTTGAATGTTGCTCACGTATATGCTTGTTTCAGGTCTAGAAGTGTTAACACAACAGAGGAAAAAACAATCATTCACAATGCTTATGAGTTAAAGGGGCAAGGCAGGCTATTACAATAGCCTTCCCCTTCAGTGAAGGAATAAAAGAGCATTGTGTACACTGCACCTCACACATTCATTTGGGGGAATGGGAAAGAGATTGATCACACAGAATTTAGCATGTATAAACAAATGTAAAGCAAGATTGGGTCATATAAGCCAGACCCCAAGCAAAGGCTGGGAAATGTTAACATCATGCATGGGACTCACATTTCAAGGCTAAACAAAGTCCAGGCAGTCCCCAAGTTACAAACATCTGGCTTACAAATGACTCATACTTAAGAACAGGGATGATATAATAGGAAGTGAGAGAAATCTACCCCTCAGAAAGGAAATTCACTTCTAGAAGAGTTGTCATGGGGAAAAGGGGTCTCCACTGAAACTTTAGCACCAATCCTTGTTTTCACAACAAGTCAAAAATTTTCAAAATCCAATGATCACAGGGACAGAAAGTGAAGTGAAATCTTCTGAACAGGGGCACAGATAGTAAAACAAACATCACAGGGGTGTTAACCCTTCCCTATCCAATGCATGTGTGTGGATGGAGCTGTTCCAATTTACATACAAATTCAACCTAAGAAGAAACCTACAGAACTTATCTTGTTTGTAACGTGGGCACTGCCTGTACACATTCTGTATTTATACATTTTCTTAAGCAAATTTTGTGATTGTATAGTTAGAACAGAACATCTTTCCTGTCTGAAATGTTCTGGACTGGAGGGTGGTGGCGAGTGGGCCTTGGGCTAACCCAAAGCAATTTCAGGCTTTGGAGGCCTCCCACCAAATGCTCCATTGAAAACCACTTTCTTCCATGCCTCAAAGGAGTGCCATTCTCCTCTGTAACAAAGCTTGTCTTCATATGCCCCTCCCTCAAAGCAGAAGTGATCTTCCAAGCACTTCTGGTTTCATATAGGGAAATTGGCATAGCTCTTTTCAGTTTCTAGAACCTATACAGCATGAAAGCCTGGCAATCAGAACTGCCATTTCTAAGTTTTAAAATGATGAAACCAGCAAGCATGGGGATTCTTTCACTAAAGCATAAGTTATTTCTTATGCTTTCAAGCACTTAAAATACTTAGATTGTATTAAAGATTGTCCCACTACACTTGTTTTTTTTAATGGTGGCCTCTTCATGCAGAATGGAAGGCCTATCAAAAATGTTCCAGTGCCATTTTTGAAAAGGCAAGTGAGTGGGAAGGCAGAGTTAGAGGCAATATAGGCAAAGGGATTGGAAATGCAAAATATATTCACGCTTACTGGTTAGAAGCATTTCTCACCTGGAATGACAGAGATAGTTTTCAAAGCTCGGAGAACTCTGAAAGTTCTCAAGGCTGACACATTCCCAAGGTCCACAAACTCTGTGACATATCTGCAACGAGGGAGGTCACACACAAAGAGACACAATGACAATAACACACACCAAAAAGGTGGAATGGGGAAGAAAACAACAACTACAGACAGCAATACATCACTCACAGGGACCTGCAACCCAACACCTAACACCAACTGCCTTACCTGGAATTACAGAAATAGTTTTCAAAGCTCTCAGTACCCTGAAGGTGCGCAGAGCTGAAACATTGCCTAGGTTTACAAACTCTGTTATATACCTGCAGAATTAAACCAGAGTTAATGGCACCAATTGGGGTTACCTGGCTCAGGAAAAAAAAAGCACGCAACGTTCCAAATTGAAAGTGCTTTTCAAATGGCATTTAAAAAGAAACAGAAGAAAAGAGAGCAACAAGATGTAAATAAAACAGGCCAAATCCAATTACTAGTTCCAACTAGAATAGATCCACTGCACAACTTACTGAATAGTAAAAATACACCAGTATATTCCTTTGAGAAGGGAACTTTTCACAATTTAATATAAATCCCATTTTAGTTAATCTATTCTAATTAGGAGTAGCAATTGAGTTTAAAACACAGTTTTTTTAAAAAATTATCTCAGTTATCTTCCTGCTCAGTGGTAATAATTGCACAAGCAACCTCTTTACCAGTGGTCCCAAACATACCCATGCACACTGGTCTACATTCAACAGCTGGGAAAAAGTGGGTCCAGGTCAAAGGCAATCTGGCAGAGTAAGAGTAATCAGGGAAAATAGGCAAAGTTTTGGATATTTCAGTAAACCACATTTTCAGCAAACAGTAAACAAAAAGCAGAGGCTATTTCAGTATGTGTAACATGAGAAAAACCAACAGATCAAGATATTTATAAATACAATTTGTGAATCTCCAGGTACCCTTGGATAGCATGAACGTAACATATGTCTACTTGTTTAAACTGGAAAAATGTGTATGCAAAGGCATATTTTACATCTTAAAAACTGAGAGAAAGAAGATGGTGGCATAAGTCTTTGTGGACTATGTCTACTTTTTCAGATGCATGAAAAAATATATTGGATCACTTTCCTCAAAGGGGAAGGTACCCCCTAAACTTGTTTCAGCAAAAACACAGTGTTGTAGCAATGCAAAAACTAACAGTTTGGTTTTTTTTGCATTATAGCTTAGGCAATAAAATATTAGTCAGTCTTTAAGGCGCCACATGATTATCTTTTGCTTAGAATCTCACTTGATCTATTATTTAAGCAGGAAGGAAATCAAGGCATCCTGGATACCTAATGGAGTAGACAGACTCTTTGAACAATCTGCTGTTCCATGGGACACCTACCTAGGGCATCAATGCAGCAACTGAAGCACAACCTATCCGCCTGCAAGAGTTGTCATTGGCTATGCCGCTGCTGCATGGTTAGGCAGGGTGAAGGATTCTGGCAATGACAGATTTCTGAGTAATGTGTAAGAGCCATTTTTACATCGCTGAGGAAGAGAGATGGCATTTGAATTTTCAGCCCCTGACACCAACATGTTTTAGGCTGACTCTGTTTTTAAAAAAATGCCATTATGATATTCCACAAGATTGAGCTTTAAATCTGCTCCCTTGTTTTCTCCTTCTTCATCCCACTAAAGGCTGTTCCACAAAAAAGAAAATATATGAAGATTGGTTCAGAGAGTTTTAAAACCAAACTCACTAAAATGGCCCTGTGTATTGCTATAGGGCTGACATTTGACACCTTTCTTAATTTATCTTCAAATTACTTGGCAAGTGAAAAGAACTGGAATTTTCAGATAGCCAAGAGTTATAATTTTTTTAAAAAAACCTTCATGCCAAAACATCATCTTTGATGCAGTCCCCTTGGGGAGAGAGGGGGAAATACAAATAATAATAATAATAATAATAATAATAATAAGAAGAAGAAGAAGAAGAAACACAACAAGATGAGTCCACAGCAGACAAGATCACTCTGCTAGCTGTTGTATTCGATCACACGTCAGAAACTTCCCAATTGTCTAGGACTGTGTGATATATTGGCGAATAATGTGTGCAGATCCCAGTAAGGTGGCCTTTTGCAGCTGGCAGATGGTAATCTTGTCAGTGCTGATTGTGTTTAAGTGCAGGCCAAGGTCTTTATGCACTGCACCCAGTGTGCCGATTACCACTGAGACCACCTTGACTGGCTTGTGCCAGAGCCTTTGCAGTTTGATCTTTAAATCTTCATATTGTGTCAACTTTTCCAGTTGTTTCTCTTCAATTCTGCTAACACCTGGGATTGCAACATTGACAATCCATACTTTGTTTTTTAACACGATTGTGAGGTCAGGAGTGTTGTCCTCCCATACTCTGTCTGTCTGAATTCAGAGGAGTTTGACGTGTTCATTCTCTGTAACTTTTTCCGGCTTGTGATCCCACCAGTTCTTTGTCACAGGCAGATTATTATTATTATTATTATTATTATTATTATTATTATTATTATCTGCAGAACTAAATTTTGTGGCTGTGCATATCTGGATGAGCACACATGATTTATTGTTATGAATCTCTGTTCTTTTCCTTCTTTCAGTGATCCATATTTGTTAATTCATTGTCTAAAATGTTCATGATTACAGAAGATACAATTTCCCCCAGCTTAGATCTGAGCAGGCCATAACGGGAAAAAAATAGTGGTTTGAGCTTATAGTGAAGTAAGTGCCAAATCATAAGATTAAATGCACTAATCTTGGATTAATAATGTACATATAAAAATAGGAGCACCCAAGAGAAATATCAGCATGAGCTAACTGATGCTGAGTATTCAGCCAAAATTTTAGAAGAGTTGGGCACATACATTATTTCTCCTGAAATTAAACAATATGTAGATTTACTAAAAAGTAGCCCCTACATACCTATAGAAGCCTCTCTTTTTTGTACTTTAGCAAGGCAATCCTACATTCTCGTATTTTAGAATTCAATGGAAATTCAATTGTATAGAAAGGAATAGTATTGCATTAAAAGTCAAAACAGATTTGTTGTCAACTGCCACTGAGCTTTGACTTATGTTAACGCTATGAATGAGGGACCTCCAGGGCACCCTGTTATCGGCAGCCCTGTTCAGGTCTTACAGACTCATGGTTGTGGATTCCTCGGGTCTATCTACTCTGAAATGCAGTTTCCTCTTTCCCCAGTGTCACCCACTTTACTGAGGATTACTGTATTTTCTAATGAGCTGTGCAATCTCATGATAAATCTGAAGTATAATAGTCTCCAAAACCAAGATGTATAACTATCTTAAAAAACCTACAGATACATTAGTTTGATACACTCTCTTAGATTATTTTAAAAATGGTTACTATTGGATTAAGTGATATATTTGATACATAAATGGCTACTATCAGTCAAAAGTGAAATGTAACACTATGTAATACGATTTTTGTTCCTGGGTTATAAATCTAATTTCCTAATTGGGTCTATCATAAAAACATGGGAAAAGTTTATTAAACTGCAAAAACTTTGTTTCTGAAGAGACATCCTGCAGCACATTTTCCTATAATTTTTCGATGAATATCTCGTCAAGTCTCAACCAATTCAACATAGTTTGTGGCAGCCACAAAAACAAAGTTTCTGGAATATAACAATTACTTTTAACATAAGGACTGCACAATTAAACAGGAATAAAACTTTCACACCAGGAACAGGGGAAAAAAAATCAAATTTTGTTACATAGTGCAATCAAAAAGGCATTGAAACTGTGGATTCTCTCTGGATAAATGTGGCAGTTTACACACTCAACTGCAGTTGACTCATTTAGGCCAGTCTGCCCAAATGAGGTGGGTCCAAGAGTGACATCCTTCTCTTCCAGAGTCCTTCCAATGCCACATGGACTGCGCAAAATGGCAAAACAAAACCTAATGCTGGATTTGGCTGAATGTTTACTTCTTGTCCTCAAAATAGGGATTTTCTGATATTTAAAAAAAATGCAGGGAAGCTCTGCTATTGAGAAGTGAATAGCAGCCCTTAAAGGCTTCCAAGAGAGAGAATTCCCTCTAATTCCCATCCAGGAAAAGGGCCGGCCAGGAAGCCTGGAGGAATCAGAAGCTGCCTGCAGCCCAAGTGCTGCCCTTTGCCCACCCAGGTGTATGTCAATTATCATAATCAATACATACAGATCTATGCTGCAAAAGAGAAATGGAATGAAGTAGCTCAATTATCTTCCTGCTCAAAACTGCCTTTTTTACCTACAGAAAGTTTGTTCCTCCTTGCTGATCTGTTGCATATTACAGCTTATAAAAATATTAAGAAAAGGGTCCCGAGGTAAAGCTGGGGTCTAAGTTTATGCCATTTTCACCAACTTTCCATTTTTTGCTGTTGTTTAGAATAAATATACAACATAAGGCAGTCAACAGACATCAGTACAAAATCTATGAATACGGATGAAAGAGCTTTGCAAACTTCAGTCCTGCACTCTGATATCACAATTTCATTTCAAAAATGGGAATTTATCCCAGATTGATCTGCAATTATTAAAGAAGTGGGTGGGATTGGCACATTCAACTATCCTGGGTTTTTAAAAACCACTACCACCATTTCCTTTCACTCACATAGAGATTTGTCATAAGAATAGGATAGAGTGCATAACTTACGCCATCATGATGACACTGAAGTCTAGCCAGTTCCATGCATCTCGGAGGAAAGTAAAACCATCTATGCAGAAGCCTCTTGCAATAATTTTCACAAGTGATTCAAATGTATATATACCAGTGAATGTATATCTGTTGGAACAAAGAATAATTGTAGAAGAAAGCAGTAGCAATGTCCATAGACAAGTATTTACAGACAAGTCTGAAATTCTCATTCTGGTTTCTCCCATTTGAGAAACCAGAAATGGTCTTCACAAGATTTTGGCTTGGATTTGATAAATTGAAATGTTAAGAAAAAATTTAAATGGGCAACATTTATTTGACTAGAACAACACTACTGACTTAAATCATTTGTAACCTGAATGGATTATACCTACTATTGAGGATGGATTAAATTACATTATTCCACAAGTGGTTGTATAAGGGATTGTGTACTGATTGCGAAGCTACTTGTGGTTCTTTCATATCCTATTGCATCCTCTTGCTTGTGCAACACAAAAAAATCCCATCCTATCCTTCTTCTGGTTTTAAAAGGCACAGCTGCTAACAAAATGAGCTTTACATAACTGAAAGGAATCACTGGGTCTTAAATGTACACACAGACCCATATGTGCAGTTCCACATCCATCCACTGTCTCTTAATTACCAATGTGGAAAAAGACATTTTTGGCCATAAAGCAGCAGCTGATCTCATATTAGATGGTTTGAGGGAGAAAAAGGAGTGGGCTTTCAGGCTGTTTCCACACAGGCCTTAGATGTCGGTGAAATCAGCATTTGAAATGCCAGTTTCACTTGACATGGAGGCCAAACAGCCAATCATAACCTTATCAGTCTGGTGGGGTGGCAGCTGAATACCCACCTATGCGGGTAGATGGGGCACTGCCAGCCTCCCCTCCCTGACCTCCATTTGCCCTCAATTTACTAGATGAAGCCTCAGAAAGAGGCCTCAAAGCCTTCCCTTGCTTCCGTTCTGGATTGGATCCTCAAGCAGCTAAGAGAGGACTTTGGAGAGGTGAGCTGGGAATTCCTCCTCCAAGGCCTACTTGTTGGCTCTTTCAGGAACCAGGAAGAGAAGGAAAGCTTTGAGGCAGCCATCTGAGGCTTTGTTTGGTATGTTTGGGGGTGAAATAGAGGGCTGGGAAGGAGGCTGGCAGTGTTTCCTCTGGTAACAAGGAACAGCAGCAATCCTTCTGCAGAATTGATAGTCGCCAGCCATACATCTTTAGACATAAAACAAGGGCAAGAGAATTTGGTATAATTCCCATATCCATGCGACTTGCATCTGTGGTTTCATTTATCTATGTCCAACAAAATATGTCTTCTAGGCATTTCCTAGGTTCTCCAGTACAACCTTGTAGTATTCTTGGATCAGAACTCCTTCATTTCCATAAGATTTACTATGGATATGGGAGTTGTACTTTAGTCCTCTGTGGCGTACACAAAAAAGTAAGTTGTATATGTCTAAGCACACTCATGCACATGTAAATCACCAACAAGATGTCAGCACATGTACCACAGGTTATGGGGCATTGTGCCTTGATGTCTTCCTGAAGAGGAACAGGAAGGGATGTTGGTTTAGCTATGTGAGGCATCCTGTTAGTGACATATGGGTATGTAACTTTAGCTTACGTGCCAATATGTCTCTTTTATCATGGGTGCAGAGGACTGTTCTCTAGCCTTGCCCCTTGGCACCTGTCAACTCCTGGGAAAGATTGCTGCTGTTCACTGGTGGGAAGGGGAGGCAAAAAGGGAATTAAGATGATGAAGAGGTGGCTGCTCTGCGCTTCCAGCTGTTTCTTCACCATCTCGATTGTCTTTCTGCTTTCGATTGGTAAGTAAGCAACAGCAACTCCTGCTAGAGTTCAACAGTTGCAGAGGCAGTGGTTCTCAACCTGTGGTTGCTCAGGTGTTTGGGCCTATAACTCCCAGAAATCCAGCCAGTTTACAAGCTGTTAGGATTTCTGGAAGTTGAAGGCCAAAAGATCTGGGGACCCACAGGTTGAGAACTGTTGCTATAAAGAAATCTATATCAAGAGACAGGAATCTGCATATAACACAAATCGACATTTTATCATAGTTCAGACATATGGCAAAGTTGTTTGAAAAATTGCCAATTTCTCGCTAAAGAATTAAGCATGATAATTACAAATTTAGAACATAGTAAAAACAAACTTAATACTTACTCCACCTGTTTCGACCATTCTGGTGGGTTACTAAAAGTCATGAACACACAGTTCGTCAAAATAGTGCACATAATGATCATGCTAAATACTGTAGAAATAAGGTCAAGGAAGAACAAGAAATCACATGTGCACTCCAATGTTTTCAAAAATAAATGCATTAAGTTTCCAGTGAGTCTAAATGAATGTTGTCTGATAACAATACCCGCAGCAACCTCCATAATAACAGGTTTTTAATTTACGACCAGAGATAAACTATTGAAGTCAATTTTATGATTTTGTTGATAACAAACCCAGAATAAATCTACACTGTCCACTTAACAGAAAAGGAAGCAGCTTCAGTGTTTTGTGTCAAGTGAAAATAAAACTTCTTGTCATTTTTAATTATTATCCAGAAATGTGTAGAGTTTAACATTAGATCTAATTCTTTTGTTGTTTTGTTTTGTTTGAGGATTTAATTTCTCTCTCTGTGTGTGTTGTTGTTTTTTTTAAGGTACCAAGTAGACAGAGAGGAAAAACATGTGTATTTTTTTTTAAAAAATTCTTATATATCTGTATTATAAATGATGGGGAGTCATGGATTTGGTTCAAGGCTTGGATGGTGCTTATATGTACTGCAAAGGTCAGTCTCAAATGGGTTCCAAGAGTATCCATTCCATGTGCATTTTTTTCAGCTGCCCCTGCCATAATGCATATGTGCATTGTGCCACAACCTTTAATTACTTTCACTGTGCAATGTGATTTACATTGAAGTGAACTGATTTATATTAAGAGCTCTATTCTAAAGTATTCCCCAACTTTGGATACCTTGCTTTAAAGCCTTTAAAGAGCTGCACACATTTATGGCATGCATCACATAAACATCAAGCCTTCAATCCACATGAAATGGTCTGTGGAGATGCCCCCCCCCCCCCCAAGATAGACTGGTCTTCATATTCTCAAATGGAGTTCTTCAACCACTGTTTCCAGTTTCAGACATCACTGGAATGTGTGATTTATGAATTCAAGGGGTATTCCCTGAACCTGGGCATGTAAGGTGAAGAGGGAGAAGAGGAATGATGTAGGACAGTATTGTCATTACAATAAACCATGGTATATTGGGCTAGAATCATTATATATTGGTGGTATTCCTGACAATCTGAATAAAAGAGGGTTATGCACAATTTGTCAAACACTTAATTCATACTTTTTAAATAAGCATAGAAAGCCCACTAAACAGGAAATAAGATTATAAAATGGAACAGCAGATATCACTATAAAAGGATATGAATGTATCAAAATTTTAATAGCTATTCTCCTAAACAGATTAAAAGGACTTAAAATGTACAAGGCAGGCGTGGCACTAAATCGGAAGAGTGTTTTGCCTCTGTTTAGTACTACAAAGGTCTGCAGAGAAAAAGAGAAAGATATACAATGTTAGAGGAATATATATTTAAGAAAACACATATATAGAATTTAAACAGATCTGTAACACAAAAGTTGGGTTGATTTTAAGATAGCACTTAACATCAATATTGCACCATTAAATGCTTTTGTTGTTCATTATGAACCCCACTGAATAAAACAGAAAGCAGAATTAGTAGCATGGGTACTACAAAAATGGGCTGCAGTCCTTTATAAACCTGCAATGTGAATTCTGAGTAGACAAACACACTTCACTTTGCTGTAAAAAGTCTTCGGAGTTCCCTTCTGTGCACAAAAGAGACTGACGGGGTAAGATATGATATTAAAAATTGTGAACGGGATCATTTCAGATTGTAAATCAGGGGGTTCCATATATACATACACCTGTATAGATGTAATATATGGTGTGTTCCTCTCCTGTCATGTTTCCTTCCATTTTATGGCAAGCGCATTAGGAAAACATGATCTCTGATCTGCTCACTGTATGAATGCTAGAAACTTACGATGTTGGCAAATACTCCAAAATATGATCTACCATTCCTCTTTGTTTGAACTAATACAACCAAGAATTATGTGGCCTGTTTCCCACCTCCTTCTACATCAGTGGTTCACAACCTGTGGTCCATGGACCACCAGTGGTCCCCAAGAACTAAAATATGGTCTGCGGCCTCACCGTTGTCAATGAGAGCTACTGGTCTTGTGAAACCCTCTTATAGTGCTGAGGCAACAGGGATGTCAGGAGGGGAGAAGCTGACTACTCATAAAAGGTGCGACAACAAGCCTCCTGACTGCTGCTGCTTCTCCTCCTCCTCCCTCCCCCTGAGTGGAGCCATTTCATGTGGCGCCTGGAATCGGGAGCGCCTTGGGTGGCATATGTTCTGTATCAGAAACTAGAGCTATCCAATGCAATTTTCTGATTCGGCACCGCAAATAACCAAACCTAATCTAAAGTTGACCAAAAACTGATTCATAACCCGTTTGGTACTAATGTTGGAGAGAGGTCCCTGGCCAAGTGATCCCTAGTAAAAAAAGGTTGGGATCTTGATCATGAGAATATACATTTTTATTTAAAGCAAATATATCTCAACAAAAATAGCTTTCAAGTTCAACAAAGCTATAAAATGAAACTATTGATCTAAATATAGTAAAGGTAAAGGTTTTCCCCTGACATTAAGTTCAGTTGTGTCCAACTCTGGGGGTTGGTGCTCATCTCCATTTCTAAGCCAAAGAGCCGGCGCTGTCCGTAGATACCTCCACAGTCATGTGGCTAGCATGACTACATGGAGCACTGGTACCTTCCTACCGGAGTGGGACCTATTGATATACTCACATTTGCATGTTTTCAAACTGCTAAGTTGGTAGAAGCTGTGGCTGACAGCGGAAGCTCACACTGCCCCCCAAATTCGAACCTACGACCTTTCGGTCAACAAACTCAGCAGCTCAGCGGTTTAACCCACTGTGCCACCGGGGGCTTCTGATCTAAATATAGTAATCTAAAAATAATTTCATACATGTTATCCAATGAACAGGAAGCAACAGTAGCAATAAGGAGCCAAAAGAAAAAAAATCCGTTAAGCAACACATGCTTCTTTATAATATTTCGTTTCATAAATATTCCAGTTCACTTTTGTTCCACTCACTATGCCACACTGTTTTTTGGTCCTCATCTTGGAAATCTTAAGGACCTTTCAGTCCAGTCTTCATCTTTTTCTATTATTTCTGTCACATGTTCTGTATTTGGTGCTCCTCTGACATATCAATAAGTTTAAAACAGCTTGCAATCCATTCATTCATGCACACATTTGTTCATTTAATGTCTAACCTTCCTTCCCATATGGAACTCAAGGCACCTTAGAACACAAATTAAAACAAAATGTTGCTAAAATGATATAATACAAAAGTAAAAAGAAATAAACAGACAAAGCCAATCCAAACCTTTAAAACAGTTAATGCACACTTAACGCATAGTAACATAAAAATAAAGTAAACCTGTTAAAAGCTTAAGACCAAAGGAATTGAATGGCTTCTGTCTGCTGGTGGAAAAAGAGCAGAGAGGAGGCCAGCTCAATCTCCCATTGCTGGGAATTCCCTAAGTTGGGAGCAGCCAGAAAGTAGTTGCTGTCCTGAGTCTGTGAAGGTGACGTGACTGCCAGAAAGCACTCCCTTGGAAGACTGTAGACTTGGGCAGGTTCATATGAAGAGCTATAGGTTTGTATTGTCGAAGGCTTTCATGGCCAGAATCACTGGGTTGTTGTAGGTTTTTTCGGGCTATATGGCCATGTTCTAGAGGCATTCTTTCCTGGTTTTTGATAGTTTTTTGATAGTATGGCTCCAACCCGTATAGGTTACACTGAACGAGAAACAGATCCATAGCCAGTGAAACTGCTTCAACAGGGGATATATCCAGACACATGGCTTCAAATGGTACTAGCTGTAAACCACTGTATTACTATTCTATTTTTCCTCTCCCTTTCTTCTTATTTGGTAAGGAAAAAATTTAAAATGTCAAAGAAGAAACAAAGACACGTTAAAGGTGGAAGACACCATTTTGATCTCCCTTGCCAAACTGCATGTCTGAAGTAGAATGACTATTAAATTTTTCTTATTTCATAAGAAAAAAGACTAAAATGTCACAGAGAAAACTCAGGAAGGTTACAGGTGGAAGAGTTCATTTCAATCTCTCTTCCTAAACTGCATGTTTGAAGTAGAATGACTACACAATAAAAGTATTTTCTGGATGCAACCCCACAGATAATACCTATCACCCCTTTACATAGTAAGGGGTTCACTTGAGATGTGTTTCATAGAAAAACTGAGAAAATTTAGTCCGTATCCTAAGTTTCCTTCATTGCCCCACCATGGGACAAATTTTCAATTTTTCCAGGGAAGTATTTTCTTTTGCAATCAGTGAAATGTGTTTTAAAATGATTCTATGCACAAAAATGTCAGGAACTTCATAGAATGAAGATAAGTATGAAAGACAGTCTACAGAATTAGAGGACAACAATTCCTATGCATGCTATAAGCATACATAACACTCAGATCATTCATATCCGAATGATCAGAGAGAGAGAGAGAGAGAGAGAATCCCATTATTATTATTATTATTACGGTGCTTTTTCTTTCCAAAATAGCAGCTTAAAGTAAAACTGATTCAAGACAATTTAAAACCCCCAAACATACAAATATTAAAATAGAATTGAATATTAACGGTATTACAAATAAACAGCTAACTGTGAATAGGTTTTAAAACTAAATAAAACCTATTCAAAATTAAAACGCAGCACCCCCTGACTTGATCTATGCTAGTGGGTGCTACCATCTTCATGAAAAGAGCTTGCAGGTTGCCTTCATTATTTATCACAATATACCATTAAGAATTCAGAATTTTTAGCATTGAGTTAAATTTCTACCTGAACATGTCGTGATTGCCCAATTCTTCAGGTCAAAAACACCTTTTCTCAACCTAAGACTTCATATTTCATTTATGAAACTTTACATCTATAAAATTTATAATGGCAGTACGAAGGAAGTGACAGTGCAACTGAATGGCTGCATTCCTGGCCCATCTAGACAACAGGACCAGGTTCAGAAGGGCCTGTTGTAAAAGGTTGGGTCTAATACGAAAATATAGAACATAATTAAACTTCCCCTAAAATATCTGTTCTCATTCCAGTGCAGATATTGTGGGAAGGTGCTACTCTAACCTTTCTCTCTCTTTTTCTCTCTGACATACCAATAATACACATGACATACACACATACATATTCCACAAGGAAAAGATGCTATCTTCAGTATAACTGTGTACAACTAAATATTTGAAAGGCTGTCAAAAGATCATTCTTATTTAAAGTCTTCTCTCTATAAAAACCAAATATTTCTCAAATCAGCTTTGAGACTTTGCAAATAACAGGACAAACACGTCAAATCCACTCCTTTGCCATGAAAGCTGTTAGGAAAAGATGTGACCCAACAACATGCAGTTGGTTGAAGGAATAATATGTATAACCAAACATACTTATGTTTACAGCTATCTCTGTAATAAGGACCTACGCTAGAGACAAGGAAAACATATTCATGAGAGGTCTGTTGGTGCTAAGTCACACTGAAATGTATTTACATATTTATTTTAATACACATCTTTCCCCAAATGTAACCATATACATTTTCCCCAAATGTAACCTCTTGGCAAATTCAGAGTTCTCCAAGAAAAGAGGAGGTTCACTTCACACAGAACATTCTGGATCTCAAGAGATGCTACTTTTGTAGTATTAATGGAGATGAAATTTTATTGCCTATCATTTTGGGGGCCCATTTTTAAACATTTTTGCCTAAGAAAAAAGCCGGCGAAACTTCTAACGCTTGCGTGATATATTTTCTGTATTTCAGTTAGCACAAGAATCACTGTTTTATGGATTTTATTCTATGTTATTACTGTTGCCCACTTGAGCACCTTTTTGGAGGAGATGAAAGATGTACATCAAAGCAATAAATATATATATAAATTATGTAAGCACCCAAATTGCATCTTCTGACTATCCATCCATCCACGGTTCCATACCAGAGATTTGGGAGCACTGGACAATATATTAAAGCAAGGAAATGAAAATGCCAAACTAAAAACAAATGCATTTGTTTGTCCACAAAGAAATAGTCCTTGCCCTTGATAAACTCCAAGGGGGGGGGGGGAGGTCTCAGATTCCTATGAAACCAATAGAAGCATCTCCTTATCTTGATTGTTTAGGGCTTTGGAAACTAGTCTTCTTTATGCTGATATGGAGTGGTCTCCAACAAAAGGCAGGCGATCAGGCACATCTGAACTACCTGCAGTTTTTGGATTAACCTTAAGGGAAACTCTAGCAACTAAAAATATCTCCAACAATTAATGCTCTTTCAGAAAGAATTCAACCCCATCTAGGACAGGTAACAAAACTGCCTCTTGGACACAAGGAGACAAATACGTTTCTGCCTTGCTAGGATTC